ATCTGGTGAACTATAAAGTGCCTTGAGATGACATGTGTTTTGTGCTATAGAAATGAACTGAATTGAATTGGGTTTTTTTAATATTATAGACCGGCACATATTAGTAGATTAGATGGGAGTGAAAGGAAAACAACTCACAGTTTTTATATCTTTGCTACAAATAATAACCTGCATTTCTTTGGGGTTATATCTCTAATTGGTTTGTTTAATTAGAGAATATACATCCTTTTTTTAATGATAGATGAAGCCACAGATTCTAACTTAGCTTTTAGTCTGGACTTTGACTGGACCGTTGGAATACACACAGATACTTTGATTTTCAACTATTACATTGCAGATCTGGCTCTATAATTCATGGTGAATCTCCACTATTTTATAACATGTTTTCTGTCTCAGTTGCCATGAAGAGCAATGTCCCACACCATGAATCTCCCACTGCCATGTTTTGTTGTGGCGGGGCTTTGATCAGGGATGTTTACAGTCATAGTTTTTCCTCTATCCAGTAGATAAATTCGGCCTCCATCTTCCCAGAGCAATATCTTCACTGGAAAAAATCGAAATCTAGATAAGTCTTTTTTTTTCTATTAAAATAAGTGCATTTGTTCTTGGATTGAGGAGGTAAAAGAGACATTTTGCCAATAGAACAAGACAATTTACACTTCAAATAAGAAAACACTATTGCATTGTCTTATTTCAAGTGCATGTTATCTAATGATCTTATAATAGAGTAAAAATACTCATTCCATTGGCAAACTATCTCATTTACCTACTCAAATTAAGGATAAATACACTTAATTTAAGAAATTTTTACTTATTTCTAGACCATTTTTCCAGTGTTTAACCTGTTTCAATAATAATAATGATAATAATTTAACTTTATTGATCTCATATTGGAGAAATTTACCTCCGCATTTAAGCCATTCCCTTGGGGAGCAGTGGGCTGCCATTGTGCGGCACCCAGGGAGCAGTGTGGGGTTAAGGGTCTTGCTCAGGGACCCAGAGTCTCTCTCCTCTTGTTGCAGACAGCAAATTCTTAAAACTGCTCCATAAAAGCCAGATTTGCAATTATACATAGATGAAATCACAAAGTGAACCGTATTTACTAATAATCTGACCTCTGTAGGTAGTTGGCTGCACTTCTTTTCAAATAAAAACTGCATTTCACTGCTTGTCGGGAAAAAACTAACAAAAAAAAATATGATTCCCTACTGCATTTAATTGTTCTGTGGTTTTAATGTAACAAAATGTGAAAAGAGGGATTATGCATATGGCTGCAAGAGTCTACATCAACCTGACTATGGCGTTCTGTTTGCTGTAGCATTCAGCTGTACCACCACCAAACCATCCATGGGAACACTGAGGAGCTGCGCAGCATGGCCTCCCAGCGGGGGGTCCCCGCTCCTCTGTCCACGCTGCCCATGTTCAACAGCCGAACCGGAGAGAGGGCTTCACCGCTGCAGTCAGACAGCATCCCTCTCATCATGGCCCAACAGTGAGCATCTCACCCGCCAACTGCTGATGTTCTGACCTGTTGTTGCATCTTCCTGTGACACTAGACAACCAGTGCCACCAGGGGGCGCCACTGTGCCAGTGTAAATTGCAGTAGCATCAGTTTAGCATTTCATCCCATTATTCACAGCCGTAACAATAAAAATCACACAATACACCAAGATATGAGTAGGTTTTTACTGAACTCTTTATTTCTACAGCATATTTACCACGATAGTAGATTCAAAACCTGAAATTTTGGCTTTTAATTTCAGTGTGCCACCCCTAGATTTTTAGTGGCCCCATCTGGCCCCCCTATGAAACATTTTTGCAGACAACTCTTCCAGTATGGAGTGAACACTCGTTACCAAACAGAATAGCCAGTTTGGGTGTCCTGAAAGTCCTGCTTTCTGGATTATTATCAATCTTTTTTTTATTGAAATCAATCAAAGTAGAGAAATTTACTTGTTACATCAGCGAAAATAGTCAAGAAGAAGGAACCAGATGAAATCACATGCTGTGAATAATGTTTGTGTAGAAAAAGGTTGTTACAATAGAAAGCAGTTAAAGTTCCCATAAGTAGAGTTTGTGTTTTAAAAAATGAACAAAAACATAAGCAAGATATCAACTTTACCTGCATCACTACTGAACATTCTGGGTTTTTTGGGGGTTTTTTTAACGGCACTAGTGGCTCATTTTCAGTAAGCTGAAAGGAAAGGGGGTATGAGAGAGGAGCAGAAACATGCGGCAAAGGACCACAAGTCAGATTCGAACCCTGGTCATCCACATCGACGACTAAGGCCTCCATACATGGGTCGTCTACGCCAATCACTGCGCCACCAAAGCACGCCTGCATTTTTTAATCTTTTGATCAAATATCTTTTATTCAGAGATGGCAAAAGTACTCACTTTCCGTACTTGAGTAAAAGTACAGATACTTGTGTTAAAAAATACTCTGGTAAAAGTGGAAGTACTGAT